GCCAATCACCAATACAATCATCAATACTCACCAACCACCAATCCTGCCAACCACAATACTCTCCAACCATAAAATATAATTAGTGTTAGAAATTTTTTAGTTTCTCCCGAAACTAGACATTTTTCACTCTAAAACGACATAAGTCTTTTATAATTTCACGAGAACCAGTACAGCCGTTTTATATATAGAATTATGATTCATAACTTTGTAAAGTCAACTCGAAAGCTCTCCCAAACCTAGAAATTCATTCACTTTAAAGTGGCAAAAAGTCCGTTATAATTTCACGAGTATCAGTTCAGCCCACTTTACACCGTCTAAACTGCAAGTTGCTTATTCGGTCTATTTTCTCCTTCGTAAGATCATTGAGAAGAGTGCAGATGGTGGGGGTTGTTTATTGAATCGATCGGAACAAACAGCTGATACCTCCTCTTATCTCCTAATCTCTTATCTTTATAGTTACCACAGATAAGTTAGCCTCCCTGAGTATGGATTTCAGTCGAAAACTGTCTCCGATGGTCACACTTTGTCTCGTTATGTAATGGTATATTGTAAGTAGTTAAACTCGTCAAGTAGAGGTTCGACACTAGTTACCATAGTTTTAGAGAAAATATTGTTTTAAAGTGTCCGTTATATTGTTATTATTGTTTTGTAGTGCCACTGCCACACGCGTGTCCGCTGTTTTCGTGCACTATGTCTAAACATTCCGTTCGAGAACCACCCCATTGTTGGAGATTGGACCGAGCCAACAATTATCACTATACGGAATTGGTCTTTTAAACTCTTCTAAATTCACACGCAACTTGTAATGAGGATATGATTTTTTAATTTAATTCCGCCTAATCTCAATAGTGAAGTTTCAGATATATCTTGAAAGTTAACACTGTCATTGCTGAAGATGATTATTTATTTACACGCTTTGTATCATCTGGAAATTCATTATAAACCATAAATTATAACAAGGCCGACAAAAAAACTTCGGCTCAGTTTTATTCAGCGAATTTGCTTCAATTCGCACTTGGGGAAATTTCTGCTCGGATCACTGGGGTGAGTAAAGATGACGTGACGCTTTGTCTGTACATTATGAAATTATAGCAATAAAATTTAGTTACTGGTATGAATAAATCGATTTATTTGTACAGCATTGAATCAGGTACTTTTGCAAATTAACTTTGAAGCGTAATTGTTATTAGATCTTCCCATTTATGTAATCATTCATTTCGGTATCGAATATATAAACATTTCATTGAGAATATTAAAAAAGGCAAATGATTTGTTCATGATAAACAATTGACTAAATGAAATTGCAATATAGCATTGGGAAAGGGTAGAAACTTATAACGGTAGAAATCGTGGAATAAAAATTATTTACCAAGTGAACAATTAACATCAAAATTTTATAAAGCAGAACCAATTATGTTTAGCTCTCATTTGCTCAGCTAAAACTTCTAATACATTTTGCTTTTTTTTTGATCCGATTTTCACTGAAATGTGTACTTGATTAATTGATTAATTTCTTTATATAAAGTGATTAGTTTTATTAACTATGAAAATCAGTTTAAATTTTACCTGTCTGCAATGATAGTGACGAAAAAACAGAAGAAATTGAATAAATTGTTAAATTAATGCTTGATGATAATATTGATGATGAAATACGTTGAGTACATTTGAGGTTATAGTTAATGAGAAATTTGAAGCTTCAGCAAAATTTCGCATTAATAATCAAGTTCAGAGCTTCAAGTCATAATTAATTCACGACATCGACGGAAAATTTGATTAATCGAAGTTGGTCAGAAAATGAAAGGAATAAAGTCAAACATGAATTCTACGATTTATTTTAAAATTCAACGATACCCTCGGAGAAAAATAATGGAAACACCAGCCATGTCAGGCCCTTTAGAAGGTGGAAGAGTCTTCTTCATTGTCTTCCATCTTCATCTTGTCTTCAACGCCTATTTTATTTTCGCATTGTTTAATTTTTATCAGCTAGACAAGCATGGCCAATTCCTCGAAAATGTCCTTAAATATATGTCAATTTATAATGTGAGCAAATTAAAGTTAAAATAAAATTCTCACTAAATAATGCGACAGTAGAGAAAAGTTCTAGCAAGGATACACTTATATTTTCTAGCTAGACAACTATTGAAGATAATTCAAATTTAAAAATATACGTGTAATCGCTGTCTTGCAGTCTAAGATGGTTACGTACCATTCCAGTAATGGTCTTCACCTTCACTGACTTAGTAATTCACACAAGGGCATGAAACTGGATATTAAACACAAACAAATTTTATTACAGCAAAGTTTCGCCAAACGGGCTTCAAGTTAGTCTCACCGGTCTAATGCCGCAGGTTGAAATTATTTGCATTTTCGTCTGCAAAGGGATTAAGGGCTATTACATTCAGTAATAAATCCTACAACCATTCAAATCTGATAAATAACAATATGACAAATGTTCAACATCTCCGTACCATACCGTACTGGTCGGCATCGGGAGCAAAGTGACACGTGGAGAAAGAGTGATGCAGAAAACTACTCATGGTAAACAAATGCTATACGAGATGCGTCAAACTGCGGCTACAATACGTGTATAACGATTGCTACTGCACCAATATCACAAACGGGAGGTTCTATGGCTATTGGGTGTTGATTAGGAAAAAAGTATAATTTTAGTAATGGAAGACTTGGAAATATCTCCTGTCCGATTGGCAAAAATGAATATGTCGATGAAACATCAATAAATGATATTGTTACAAATTGAAAGTTTTATTTAAAATGTGCACATGCAAGCAATGAAAGAAAAACGATCAAAATTGTCAAAAAACATAAGGATAATAGAGTATACGAAAAAAACATATACGATGTAAAGGGATGCCAACAAACCATGATTTTTGTTTTAATATTTCCCTAGAATTATGGATATTAAAATTCATTTCATTTAAAGTACCTGTATGACAAAATAGTCGAAAATGATCATTAATATAGGGTAATATATGAAAAGTGCAAATTTAAGTAGCAAGAACATAGTTTATTTTTGTCAGTAATTTGAGATAACATTTATGTAGAAAACAGTTAAGAAAATTCACAAAAATTGAAAAATCTGAGTTAACTAAATAACTCTGGAATTGTAGTATATTCTGAGAATGCCAATATATTACAGATTTGTTGGCTAATGGTTATGATTTCTACAATAATATTTCTGATCACTCAACCGAAATAAGTAATCTCGTGATCCAAGTAGAATAAAATTCAGTTCAAATTAAATTGAATTAAAACTCAAATTAAAAACTGCAACACTTTGAAGACTGCTTGTATATGCTCTTCAAGAAATGCTGCCCCAATAAAAATATTAAAATATTATTTTTATTTGTAATATTGATAATATCTGAACAATTTCGACATAATGCATAAAAAATGAGTATATTAGAATATTTTGATAATTCTGCTCCTGGCTCGTTGTAAAAACAAATTTAATTGTTATTATATTACAGAAGAAAAAAAATCAGAATCCTGCAAATATTTTCTGGCGAAAAAAGTACGAAGTTATATTTTTTTAAATTGCAGTTTTCTAGTTAGAAAACCATTGAAATAATTATAATTTATTATTTATGTTTGAAATGACTTTGATTGCCGAGAAAACTTTTATCAACTGTGTAATATGACGTTAGATGAATTAATAATTCAGCATTGATCAATAAAGATGATCATTCATGCACTTAATATAATTTTTAAAACTTTCATCAACTCTAAGCACTGAAGAAGTATTCGATGTGAAGTATCCTCAGCTCAGCTCAACTGTGCCGGCACATGTTGTAATCCCAGGTGAATTCAGCTTAAAGTGTTTTACAAAAATTCGATTCAAGACCTATCTAGTAATTTCATGTTTAAATAAATGCAACAGATGTAAATAAATATGCTGATAATTGCCCAACCTGACTAATAATGAATTGCTCTGCTCATTGATTAATTAAACTGGTCAGACATTGTCTAGTTAAAAGGCAACTGTGCTGGTGTGCACTATCTGCAAACTACTTAGATAATTTTATAAAATTTGAAAAGCCTCCAGTGCTCCAGTGACCGCTGTATGCAAGTTACTGCATGCCGCTTAGAGGAGAGAAACCTTTAGAAGACGAGCCTGCTAAGTACGGAAGATCAGTCTCCCAAGAACGACGTTATTGGAACCAACACTAGCATTATATACCATATCATTACTATATAATTTGCACCTATTGATTTTTTAAAATCCACAGTACCAGAAAAACTGAAAATATTCGGTGAGTGCATACGATCAGGCTTCTAATCACATATATCGTTACTTGATCCCAAACTATCATCACATACCTTGTCATTAAAACTATAATTTGCACCAATCGATTTTCTTGATTTTTCACGATACTACACTTTAAATATATTTGGCTGTTTCAAAACAATAATATGAAGAATATTACACATGTTTCCAAACAACAGCATCATCTTCCATTACTATTTGTCGATTTTCAAAAATGACAAGTTAGTTATTAAAATGTATTTTTTTTTATTTCAGATAAATAAGCGTCCCACACCAGCCAGCTAGAATGGCTGCCCTCGCACAGACTATCTCGTTAGTCCCGGGAATTGAACTTTCACCTCAGGAAGCCAACAGATACAAGAACATTTTTGCTGTCCAAGTTCCCATGTGTGAAGTTTTTCGTGAAATTCTAAAGTGGGAATGCAGCGACAAGCAACAAGGGCAGACATATAATGATTACTTTGAACAAAAGAAGCAGCAATATGAAGACCGCCATGCAGATCTGGTGACACAAAAGAACAATAAATTTAAATTGCCAAAAATTGGACTAACCACAAGTACAATTAAAACGCTACAGGAAGAACCAGCACGATATGATGTGACTCTAATGTTTTCTTATTTGCTTGAGATATTCAAATCAAAAGAAACGTACACTCACGCTGATCAGGTGAGAATTCCTACTCAACTTGAGTGCCTCCTTAAAACAGTCAAGGACATGAGGAATGACGTCATGCATGAAGTTGCTGGCGATGCTGTCAACCCCATGAAGTTTGATGAAATTGTCAAAGCCCTGCATGATGTGATAGATGAAGCTGGCAATGTGTACAGCATCCCTGTTGATGAAGTAATGAGTCTCAAAACCCAGGTAGATGGCATGTGGGATGAAGTGCGCACAGATAATGAAAAAGCTAAGGCTTATTGTTGCTTCTTCCTTCACACTTTTGGAAAAAAGGAAGCCAAAGTCATGTGGGAAGCGATGTTGTCCGAAGAGACTCTTCTCTTCAGCGAGGACAAAGTTGAACGCTCTAAAGTTTTCCATTCCATGGAACTGACGATACAGAAACCTGGTCTACAAGCAGGCAGGATCTCCTACAAAGAACTACTCTGTAACACAGACAAAAAGTTCATTTTAATCAGTGGTGCGTCTGGGTCTGGAAAATCTACTCTTGTGAAGAACTTGGTGATACAGTTCCATGGCATATCAGATGCAAATGTAGAGATGATAAATTTGAAGAGTTTCAGTTTGATACTTATATATGAGTGTAGGAACAGGTCCATTAAACAATTCAGCGCAGTAGTACACCAGAATTTTAAGAATGTTTGTCTGAAACTCGGCCCAGAAACTGTTGTACAGGCAATCACCCATTCAAACCCTATAATTCTTGTTGATGGTTACGATGAATGTCATGAAGACTCGTTTGAAGTTGTGGATCAGTTGGTGAACGAAATGAAATACCACGAATGCCGGGTGATCATAACTACCAGGCCAAGCCACTTTGAGGAACTAAAGAACCATTTGAAACAAAAACTCGTGGCGTTTCAGGACTATGAAATTTCTGAAATTTCTGACATAGAAGACCAAAAGAGATTTCTGGAAAAGTATGAAAAGCATGTCAATCCGCATGCTCATGAAGTTGTAAAGACCTTCAGCTCCCTTGAACGGAAAATCCAAGAACTTTTTGTCCATCCCATTTATCTGGTACTCTTCTGCCAATTGGTCTGGAATTTTCCTGAAAGGATTAATAATTGGACATCCCATGCTGCGGTAGCTCATGACATTTATCGTCTTTACAGGAAAATGATTGAGTCGAAACTGGCTTCCTACTCCATTGTCGACAAAGACGGTCTGGTCGACGACTTCTTCCGGGACGTTGCCAATTTCTCCTTGCAGACCATTGCTGAAAACCTAGTGGTTTTCTCAGAAGAACAAGTTGGAGAGTTGAAGAGTAGTTTTAGGAAAACACTTGGGGAGTATGGAGCACGCAGCAAACTCGACCCTAAAGCTCTTTTGGGAGTCGTCTTGAAAATGAAAAGGCATCTGAATGATTTTGATTCCTGTACGTACTTTTTTCATCACAAAAGCATCCAGGAACTGTTTGCTTCTAAGTCTGTCATTAAAGAACTCCGTAAGAAAAAGTGTTTGCCGTCCGTCCTGCAGGGCGAATCACATGCGAGTCAAAAGTGAGTTATATGTTCCGCAATGTTTTAGCATTTGTATTTTGATTTCTGTGAATAATTTTAATAAGACGTATGGATAGAGGAATTTGATTGGAGGCTAAAGTTTTTGAAGAAAATAAAGGAGGCTCTTCTTAAAATTGCAATTGAGAGTGAAAGGATAGGGTTCAAAGTTCTTGAATCATTGTAGAAAATGTTCAAATATATATGGCTAACATCTACTAGGTAACTAGGTGATTACAGTATACTAGGGCCCAGTGGTCAAGTGTTCAGAATACCAGGATTGGAGCAGAGAGGTGCGGGTTCGATCCCAACTCTGTGCGACAGTTTCTGGTCAAAATCGGCGAGGAATCCAGGCGGTTTATACAAAGCATAATTGGAGCAGTAAGTTACGTCTTAGACACAGCAACAAGCTGTGAATGTTCTTCGATGTTAAGAATCGGCGACAGGCCTGCGGCCTAATAGACGCTGAAACCGCCATATCATTCTCATTATAATATATTATGACATACCTATAAATTGTGCAAAGAAATGAATAAATAATCATTTACTATCAACAGTTTACAGGGTGTGCTGGCATGCGTTTTAATTGAGCTGAGTGCTGTTGAGAACTCAAATGTCTTCAAACGTAACTGGCATCGCCTGAAGGACGCTGCAAAAGCGGTAGGAGCTGACAAGAAGTTCTGGCAGCAAGTGCTGCTGAGCAGCCCCCACTCCCAGCAAGTGGCTAAAGAGACTGCCAGAGTCTACATGGCCCACAACAAGGAGTGGTACATTGGTTCAGGTAACAGAGACTGTCAGAGTCATATAGATGACCCACAACAAGGACTGGAACATTGGCTCAGGTAACAGAGACTGCCAGAGTATACATGACCCACAACAAGGACTGGAACATTGGTTCGGGTAACAGTGACTGCCAGGGCCTACATGGACCACAACAAGGACTGGAACATTGGTTCAGGTAACAGTGACTGCCAGAGCCTACATGACCCACAACAAGGACTGGAACATTGGTTCAGGTAACAGTGACTGCCAGAGCCTACATGACCCGCAACAAGGACTGGAACATCGGTTCAGGTAACAGTGACTGCCAGAGCCTACATGACCCGCAACAAGGACTGGAACATTGGTTCAGGTAACAGTGACTGCCAGAGCCTTCATGACCCACAACAAGGACTGGAACATTGGTTCAGGTAACAGGGACTGCCAGAGCCTACATGGACCACAACATGGACTTGAACATTGGTTCAGGTAACAGGGACTGCCAGAGCCTACATGGACCACAACATGGACTGGAACATTGGTTCAGGTAGCAAGTCGATCCAATGATGCTTAGTCTAGTTAATTACCATTTATATCGGGCTTTCATGAAACAGACTGTGCACTGTTGAACCTATGCATGGATTTTCCACACTTATGGATTTTCCATATTTTCCATGGATTTTCCATACCTCCATAATGGTGTCCGAGATATTTCGCTAACCAAGCCAATGATTCAGTTATGCTTTAGTGTGTTTCAGCTTTTGCTCGAATTTAGAGGCATTAAACCCGATGAATTTTCCACTCACGCCACCGATACGTCGATTTACGTAGCGACGATTTTTTTGGTGCATTATCAGCTTAAAAAAAAAGATGAACACATTGCCGATTTTGAACTTTAAAAACAAGAAGCACCAGAAGTAGAATCAAGAATCTCGAACGCCCTGTCGTTTACTCTCTCTCTCTATTGTCAACGTTAGGCGTGAGTGCGTACAGCTAAATGAGATGAGCGCACCTGATATACACCACCACGATAACTCCTGCCCTGATGCTCAGCTACTATATAGTATAGAAGTTATGTGGTGTTATGCCAAAATTAAGCACTCGATGCACACTGCGCACGACTGTACTTTTTAACCAGAGAAGATAGCATGTTGACAAGAAAGAATGTTTGTAAGCTTGAAGAAAAACCACATCAAATTTATTGAACAGTAACACGTGTAGTTTTGTCATCCGCTAGGTATGTTCTTCGGGACTATATCTTTCGCTTTTCCTGCCATTATTTCAGATGCAAACAAACTTTTGAGGACATTTCATGTAAAAAGTTGAAACTGTGATCTTCGTCGCGAAATTTACTCGAAAAGGCAGCAACCACATCAAATTGAAATGTATATTCGTGCCATGTATTTTCTGTTGCATTTGTCCTTAGTTTTGTTCAGCTGCTTCACTTGCACCCAGGTCGCGATGCTGCCACCGTTGCACTGCTGCTGCTCCACCAGCAGCCAGCGAGGCTCTGCGCCAGCCTCCTAGACGCCCCAGCGCCCGAGTCTTGGCGCCAGGTTGCTCAAACATTCAAAAGAGTTTTGGAGCTGCGACTTCTGAGTGAAGTCGACGACTCACGACCATGTGACCACATGCTGGAAGCCTTGAGCTCTTCAAGGTGCTGTGTTGTAGTGGTTTTTGCTAAGGGAACATTTTAATAACAATCATAGTGTCCTCCAGGGCAATGGCTATGTCTACAGGTCTGTAGTCTTGATTAATCATGAAAGTTTCTATGGAATTAACTATACCGATCGATATTTTTCTCGTGCAGCTGCTCGTTGTCACTATTTATTGGCCGCGTCAAGAACCCAAGCAGTATTCTATCTCTTGCCAAAATTGCATCACCCGAAACTGAGCTCACTATTTACACGGAGCCACACATGGACTTGAAGCCGTTGCAGGACAAACACCTAGAGCTCTGTGAGACTACTGGTTTAGAAAATATTTCTATTTTATAAACTACCAATGAACTAACAATGATGAAGATGTACTTATTTAGCAAGTGATCTCGGCTGATTTCGAATGTTCAGCATGGTTTACCTTTAAATAGATTGTTATTTGATACATGCATAAAATATTGGATACTATACCATAGGTATTATTTAAGATATAAATATAATTAATTGGGTGCTTGCCTAAAGATTCAATGATATTGTTCGAATGATTTGCCAATAAGAACTGTTTGCTGGATTAGTTCTGAAGCCCAAGTTTGCTGCAACTTCTTTGCATTTTTCCATCGATATCCTCCTACTGATGATTTACTTTCTGAGCATTTTGGTTGCGAATTCTTGCAGGTGTTGTGTAGTGTGTTGACCAAGTTTAGTTTCAAGCCGAAAATACCTACACATTTTTTAATCGCCTAACCTGACTTGTTGATAGTCAATGTTCCATAGAGGCTCGATTTTTTATGACTAATCATGCGATTGTTGTCTAATGTTAATCACCTTACAGGGGTGATTGTTGAACCCACATCTCAGGAAGACTTCGTTGCTCTGCCATCGTCTGTCCACTTATGTCTTCGCCTGAAGCCTGTCGCTCGAAACCAGCAAGAGAGTTTGACTCGCACCATACTTGGCCTGGCCCCTGCTGACAACAGGTGGTGATCTGCAAATAACATTGACGGAAGACATATTTTTCCTTAATTATCATGATCAAAAACCTACCTGGATGCCCCACAAAGCACCAATCGCTTCGCATGTACAAAAATCATGCAAAATTATGATATTAAACAGCTTATAACCTCTTTATGAATCTTGGGAATGAATAATGCTCCATAAATTGGAGCACATGTAGCCCCAAATGTGTACTTCTACATAAGATTTGCGTCTGAGTTGTGGCAAACACTAATGAAATAATCTCTCACTTCAGGTTTCAGAGGCTGGAGGTACGCGACTGCGAGTTGACTGAAGCGCAGCTGCTGAAGACGCTTGAGGAGCTACAACGCGTGGGCCTCAGGACGCTCTTCAAGGGCAGGAAAATCCATGCGGGGCCCAGCCGAGTGCTGACAATTCGGTAAATGAACTAAATCTGTTCACTGAAAGGATTTAGATCAACTTGGCTTATAAGCTCAGCCATGACTTACTTTCGGAGTTCAGTATGCAGCATAACTTCCTATTGCGCTCAAATTAAATATTATTGAATATGACGTTTGGCTCAGCATTTGAAATGTTGAGGTAGCTGCTTCTCAGGCAAAGTTCAAAAATTACCATTACCATTACGCCCAAAAACAAAAACAAAATTTCGATGACAAAAGCAAATTGGGCCACAAGCACATGCATGTAAATCGTCAGTTGTGTGTTTGGCTACACGATTTATGTATTGAACTATATTCTTTGATTCGAAGTAGATTCCGACGTTCGGTATTACGGTGTTTCGATCTGGATTGAGGATTAACTTGTTAGCATTGTATGAAGAGCTGTTTTTAGGATTTCTTCAATTCTAATAAACAGTTATGTAAGATGAAGCAGCTTTGGTTCTTTTGTGCATTGCTAACGGGCAAAATTTATTTCCTTGTTAAGATAGCTTAAATTTCCTGTATCGAGTTAAGGAACCTGAACATTTCCTCCACCCGCCAGAGAGAAGAATTTTGTGCTGATTCTCACTGATGAGCCGCCGCTGCCACCTCAGGCAGAACCCTGCAGGTTGGTTATGTCCCAGATCATTTTAGATTAAGCTCTACCTGAGGATCGGATTACATGACTAAGGTCGAGAAGGATAAGTAAGACACATGTGTCTGATGACATATCTTATTTACGGGGTGGTTATACACGAGTTACGATACAGAGGTATAAGCTACGGCGTCGACCGTAAGGTCGGAGAACTCGACCGACGCGTACATCGCGGAGCGCTTATCAACTACTGCGGGGGTCTTACTTAAGGTTGCTAGCCCTTATATAGCCTTCGCTTCCGCTCACAACTAAGGTGATCGCGTGATCTATCACGTGGTGTCTTCCAGATGCTGGCTCATGTCATCCATTTCTATAAGGTCAAATGAATATTACGTCCCAATTACATATAATTAATGATAACAATGCGACGCCAGATTGACACTGGACAGTTAATATATACATAGACCCAGAGACTGGATAATATTTTGTCAGCAAGTATTCGAAAAGGTAGAAGGAAAATCTAATTTTCCTCTAACTTCGTTAATGTTTATGAATTTATTACGAAATATACTAAGCAGGACTAAAGGTTTTCATTGTTTAATCGAATAGTATTGATTCCAGCCTTGAACATTAAATAATTTCGCCCCAATTAAAATGCCTTTTTATTTTATTTTTATATGAAGATGAAAAATGCTTTTATTCAAAAACTGAGTACGTTCAAGCAGAGGAATTACGCTCTTATTTAAATGAAGTTTATTGCAGCGACCAATTTTGTCGTTAAGATGATATTTTGCATGTTAATATTCGAATAAAAATCCTATATTCCTTTTTCTAAATTGCAGGTCTGTCGCCGCAACGCTTCTCAAGTCACCCGCCAGTCTCCCCGTTGCCCCCGCCGTCGGTGGAGAGAACCCCTGTCTGCTGGCCTCGTCATGCGGGGACCTGGACGCCGTGTACAGGAGTCTGTACGCCCTGAACGTTGTGCTGCCGCACGCGTTGCGCTTTGTAATGCAGAAAGAATTCGCAGGCAAACGTCCACAAGACACGTACGCGGAGCATTTGTTATCAAATAGCCAGCCTGTCCATCGCCAATGGTTGGTTTCCAGAGTAAAAAAATCTCTTGCGAGCGAGGCTTTTGCCAAACGTGAATTTGAGGAGATTGATTTACGTCCATTCGACTCCTTGCCGCTAATACAGCTCATATCTGAACTTCTAGATATGAGGTCAAATCGAATCTTCAATGAATTTAAAGGCGAAAGAAATTATAGGAACATGATCGCCATTATGGAGAAAGTTCAGAAAGCCAGAGTTGATGTGTACTCGAGCCTGATTGATGAATCTAAACTTGTCACGTGCCCTACAGGCGTCATTAACTTTGTCTTTGAGTTGATCAGCGAGGCTGCTAACCTGCACCAAGTGTCTGAAGCTGAAACGGAGCAGGTAAAAGAAGCTTGTCAATCACTCTGTGATATGTACAAGTCTGATGTGCGCGTCGATGATGACGCCTTTGCGGCATTCCGCGTACTAATTGAGAGTAGAAAGAGAATGACCGGCCTTGCTTCCAAAATTAAATTCGATGGTCGAGATATCTGGTCGTACAAATCCCCAGAACGTTGGACCGAACGATTCCAGTGTTCAAGTTACACGTATTTTGATCCAACTACACACGATTTCTATCGAAACCAACTCTGGGAGCTCATCTATGGTGGAAAGAAGGGCGTTTTCATCTACTTCAAATGCCGGGATAGGGAAATTAACAGTTTTCGTTTCTATATCGAGCAAAACTTCACTGAGTCTTGCAAACAAATTGGAGCTGACAACGTTGAATACGTTTTAACAAAATTACAACCTCTGATCCTCGTCGATGGCTATGACGAAGCCAACGCAATGTCCTGCGTTGTCGTGGAAGAAATTATTAACAAATTCTGCAAATTTCCAGGCGTGGTTGTCATAACAACCCGGCCAGACACTGCTTTCCAGAAAAGAAAACTCTTAAGAGAAGCCTGGAAAACAGAAACACATATTCTACCTTTCAGGTTAAAATATCTTGAGAAGACAGAACTCTGGACAAACCCAGATAATCGCTATGCTCTTCGCCGGGATACCCCTGTAACCGTTCCTTTGCAATCTGACCCAATCCAATTTAGCATAGATTTTACGAGGTGAAGTGGCTCGCCTCTCTCACCTTTAAGGCATGTCAGGCGTACATCGGCCACTTGCTATATATAGGCCGCTAACTAGGAGTTCATTGTAGAAGTCACTTGTCCAATAGGCCGAAGTACCAAATGATAACCGACATGAGCTGCTGGTCAGTCTGCCCCCATGATAGCCCTGATGAGGCTATCATGGAGGCAGCCACCACTACGATGTAGTTAACAAGTGCCTTTATATGCGATAATACATATAAGAAATATGTCTTTTTTAATAATAATTCCGTTCTATACCGAGATGTTCAATATATTGTTACCAATGTTGGCTAGTTACAATAATGTGGGGAAGAACCGTAATATTTTATAGAATGATAAAAACAGTCTTGATTTATTGTAATAACGATTTTAATTTACGATAAATCAGTATTTTGCTTATACATAATGCATTTGAAAGCAGCCAATATTAATGTGGTTAACAGCTGCTTTAATTCACTGCAATCAAAATGTGGGTAAAAACTTGCATCATTCTTAATAATGTTTTAAACTGCCTATATATTTTAATACCCTTAAGAATGGCCTCGATATATTTGTATGTAGTATATTGAACATATTATAATTTATTAGTAAATAAAATAAAACTTCACTATTCTTATGTAGTTCTGAACAGCCTTAATTTAATGGAAAGCATTGTTGAGCTGACTTAAGTCAAAAGAATGCTGATCAAAACTGTCAGAAATTATTTTAATTTACAAGAAAATAATATGACCTTCCATCATTTTCTCTAATCAAGTTTAAACTTCTCATATTCACTCTGGAGCTAAAAAACTACGTGCATTCAATATTATACCGTACGTACAGAACCACCTTATTTTCGCCAAAGGCTAGGAATATGTAATTTCATTTATTTTCGTACAATACAGAACTGCCATCTATCAAAATATATTTCCATTTGTCATTATTTACTTTTTACAAATGCCTACACCACCCAGCCTCGATCACTTACTATACACCACACACCACACGCGCTGTACATCCTCGCGACGCACCACACGNGCGACGCACCACACGCGCTGTACATCCACGCGACGCACCACACGCGCTGTACATCCACGCGACGCATCCTTGTGATACGACCTGAATAACCGTAGAGCAAGTTACGGCTCCTAGTGATGTATATTACAATATAAGTTGTCATTAAAACGCAGGTGTTGCAATGGCGGCGGTAAAATTGCAGCAGCAATGCAGATATTGCAATGAAAACTCTGGCGTTGCACTAGCAATTAACGCAGGTTCTGTAATGGCAACGCTACAGTCGTAGTAGCTACGCATGGGTTGTAACGGTAAAACCGTTGTTTTGAATTAAACATCCCGATGTTATATTAAAATGTCTGTAATGTGAACGTTGTTTAATAATTTAAATGTGAATGAGCCGTAGAGTTATATGAGAGGCGCTTTTTTTCGTTTATTTCAAACCAAAAAGAAGCGCAATGGTTATTTCCGCCGGGAGTCTAGACGAGTTTCCATGACTGGCGCGCCACTGGAACGCTTGCCATACAAAGTGTCGTTTGGAAAATCATGGTAAAGAAATAAATTATGATGGCTTCAGTTGTGTCATGCGTCATAGCACCTGATCCTTCAGAACGTCTGCAGGTACATCTTTCCACAATATTATTGTAGAACATCCATCTTACGCTATCACTATGCAAAAAGATAAATTTAACGTTAAGGAATATTGCTGCGAATTTCCACCAATTGTAAATTTTCGTTACTAACTAAATGTTCTTTGGAAATAAGAAAGCTATTGAGTACCAGGAAACGAAGTAGGATTTATTTCAAGTACGAACGAAAGTCTACTAGCTGCTCATTCATCCATGGCCGACCTTACTACTACAACTTGCAGGCAAAAATGTATAAAAAAATCGCCGTATAACTTTATTTGGCTTAACCAGCGGAAGGAGTAAAAACATGTCCACTTTTTTTGGGTTTTTACTTTCGTGTAATTCTCACACACACTGTGGATCTGAAGATGAGGATGGTACAAAGGAATAAAAAATCTAACAAAATAAAGTAGTTTGAAGTGAACAATATTTCAAATAAGATCGCTACAATAATTGTCACAATAAGAGCGACTTGAAAATTGATCACAACATTATTTATGTAAGCGCGGCCCTATATTTTTGATTCCTGAATGTGAAATTTATCACTGATGAATTTTCTTCTCACGAAGGCTCTAAGCGTGCCAGTTTTATTGATAAATTAAGTGACTTCTGCGTGTGATAAAGACAGAGTAAATAATCATAATTAAGACTATATGTAAGGCACTATAATATAAGACTAATATAATGTAATGAGACTATATGTAAGGCACTATAATATATGACTAATATAATATTAATAAGACTATACGTAAGATAAAATCAAGATTACTCTAAATTAATTTTTCCAATTCAAAATTGAAACAGTGAAAGAGGGATAACACAAACGTGACCTAGCCGTCGCTTGCGTTGGGCTGAGGAATAATCTCCCTGCGAGATGCGGCGCTTATTTGAATGTGTTGCCATCAGGTGTAAAAGGAAAAAATACATAAAGTCAACTTAATATTGAAGACAGCTAAAAATGTACCTATAATAATAAATAAGAACCAAATCTATAATCGCTCCATCGATGACGGCAAACACAGTCCTATTCAAAGTAATTATCCCTAATTTCCCAGCTCATACGAGGCAAATATCACCGCTGTTAAGCTTAGCGGGCCTGGATCAATCTATCTTCATATTCCTCTCGAAATTCAACGACCTTAAACAAAATATTTATATTTATATCAAAGCAAGTAGAAGAAGGCGCCTTGCTATTCTTAATTCAATACGCATGTAAGCACATTGCTTAACGAGTGCGTGAACTCTCTGAATACCGAGTCCTTAGACAGACCCAGTGTATTGAACAAGAGTATTAATATGATTACTGAGCACTGCCTCAGAGATGAGAGTTAATTTTTAACTTTACTACTACAGTTAAGACAGCTAAGCTAGTGCATTTAATCCTAGGGATGACTTCGAAAGAAGAAATATTATACTCACTTACATTCTAAAGACTCTAGGAATACTTGTACGAAATATTTTATTTAAAGAAACCTCATCTGTAGGGGTAACTTATGCTTTAGATACTGATGATTATATACAAATGTATTGTTTTCACAGCACACAATAACTTAATTAACCGATAACTTGATCCTGCATATGTAGCTCCATTTATGACGCTTGAAACTTTAAATGAGAACTAAGCAATCGTCATATCAACAGAAGCCTCCAGTTCACGAGAGCCAAGAACCTGTATCCATCGGCATGCTCTTTTTGGTGTTACTCATTCGCACCCACCTGTACTCAGAACAAGTTATCGTTTAGGGAACAGGAACAACGTTTATTAAACATCTGATTTAACATCGTTTATTAAACATCTGATTCAAAGTTTTCCCAAACCTAGAAAATTATGCACTTATGCAAAAAGTCTTTCAATTTCACTGGTATCAGTTCAGCCGTTTCTAGAATAAAATTAGTATTCATAACTTTTCAAATTCAACCCTATAAATCTCCCAAACCAAGAAGTTTATTCACTTTAAAGCGGCAAAAATCAGTTATAACTTATATATAAATATAAATTATACATGTAAAATCTAGAAATTTATTCAGTTTCAAGCGGCCAAAAGTCCTATGATTTCCCGAGTATCAGTTCAGCCGTTTCTCAAATAGAATTAATATTCATAACTTTTTAAATTCAACTCGAGCGTTCTTCCATACCTACAAATTTATTTTTTAAAGCGGTAAAACGTCTTATAATTTCACGAGTATCTGTTCAGCGGTTCCTAAAGTAGAATTAGTATTTATAACTTTTTAATTTAAATTTAACTCGAGAACTCTCCCGAACCCAGAAATTCATCGACTTTAATGATTCAAAAGTCTCGTACATTTTCACCACAGTCAGTATAGCCCTTCAGCTTTTAATGAAATTGAATTATTATTTATAACTTTTCAAATTCAAATTTAAATTTATTCCTAACCTAGAAATTTATTGCTTTTAAAAAAGCAAAAAGTCAGGTATAATTTCATGAGCCTTTTCTGAATTTGAATTAGGATTGACATCTCTTAAGTTCAACTTGAAAATTCTTAATATCCTCAAAATTTTTTAACTTTAAAAAAAGCCTTTTATAATTTATTCACTTTATTTAAAAGTCTGTTATAATTTCGCAAGTATCAGTTTAGCCGTTTCTAAAATCGAATTGGTATATGTAAATTTTTGAGTTCTTTTTGAAAATTCTCCCAAACTTTGAAATTCGTTCACTTTTAAGAGGCAAAACGTTAATCTAGAACTGCAATTTATGCACAACAAAAACTTCATCATTTATTTGACATAGCCTTCTTTTCCTAGTGAAACTAACAGATATTAATATAAATAAACTCAAACTTAGTACATTTGAAAAGCATCAATAACGGTGTGAAAGGAAGTTAGTAACCCACCAACCAAGACTTGCACATACCACGAGACTTCCAAAATACTAATTGTGAGTTTCGTCGCTTTTTTGAGTTGCAAAAAGTTGAATAATATAGTCGAATAATGTTGATGAAAGCTAGTGAGAAATTAAACTTTACTTTGACAATTTTGCAGGAGAAGAAATTCATCTGAGCTTATAAGACATAACTTTTGAATGCTGAGCAAACTCATCCATGTAATAATGCTCATGTACACTAGCTGCGTGACCGCAAACTCTTACGACGCGTTTTAAAATGCAGATATATAGAACTTATTGATGATATGCCTTCTCCATTGAATGGTAAAAATGCTCATTCAAAAGAGGTCTCACGAAAATTTATTTCAATCAATAATCAAGAAGAAGTGCTCGGGTATAGAGGGTAGAGCTGGCAACGTGAACAAAGGTGGTCGATAAGAGTATCACTTAATCTAGGTAACTGTCAGTATTTTATCGCACTTTGCTTAATCTAAATTTTTATTGTAATATAATTTTAACATGAAAAAATCTATTGAAAAGTTCTTGAATTAAGTGAAAATTGAAACCAAAAATGGAAAAGTCCATGAACTGAAAACGGAAAAGTCCCAACTAAAGTCCATTAACGCAAATAATGCAGGGCGTCAAACCAACACGACACAATTTTCACACGCCGCAAAGAAACCAGACTAATCGCTGGGCTAACGAACCCAAAATTAACTAACTGTAATTCTTCATTCTTTTTTCTTTGTAGTTTACCGAATTAAGATCATACGTGTTAGAAGAGAAAGAACGATGATTTTTACCAAGTATTGCCTCACACTCTACCTATAACCAACTACAAAGGAATATCTCACTAACTTAACAGCAGCAACACAGAGTGAAGAAGAAAAAGAACCGGCCATTCAAGAGAACAGAATTTCCATTCCGTTACCACATCAACGATCAATTTAGCGCCAATAATTACTCTGTGATCTTTTGATTAATAACTGCCAATTAATTCCAGCAAAAATTATTATTCTAATAATTACCACCTTACAATGTTCCTATATCCTAATACCGATGAATAACACATACTCAACACTATAGCAACACGCGGTGAATACACACACAAAGTATTACCTTACTTGCATTCTAAAACGGAGGAATATTGCACAAAATCAAGAGTGTCAACACACGGTGAATGCGTTAAGTGAGTACATCCTTGCTGTGTACCTAGATTTTACAGC